TTAAATTGATTTTTAAATAAAACATGCACAAAAGATCACAATAGGAAGTGAGAACATTTATCAATTACAATAATACAATCTTATAATATATAGATATATATGTTTCAACTTCCTCAACACATTCTATTTTATGAAGATTTAAATTAAATTTGTAGTGACTAGTCGGGATAAATGAGCTCAATTTTAATCACTCTCACAATGATATTTACTCATTTAAATCCCCAAGGTCCAACCTCCATCTACAATATCATCAAATCTTCACAAATAGATATTATTGTAATTGAATAATATAACTATAGATTAATAAATAAGATCGTTGCATTACTAAAGATAAAATAAAGTAAACAAACAAGACCAGTACGTAACTGGAGATAATTAAAATAAGACTAGTGCAAGACTGAAGATAAAATAAAACGAACAAACAGGACCAGTACATAACTGAAGATAATTAAAATAGGACCAGTGCAAGACTGGAGATAAAATAAACAAGCATAAGGTAGGGCCATACGTAGTTAGAGATAAATAAACAAATAACTAAATAAATAGAATGAGGTTAGAGACACTTCACTCTACAACTATAAGCAAAATAAAATAGATTTAATGATAATATTCTCCTCCCCTACCTTAAGAGCTGCGGATGAGGTACCAAAATTTTTGTAGAGACAATTTTTTTTTTCTTCTTTCTCTTCTTCCCTCTCTCTTCCTTTCTCTCTCTCCTTTTTTTCTCTCTCTTCCTCTCTCTTTTCTTCTTTCTCTCTCTCTTCTTTCTCTCTCTCTTCCTCTCTCTCTTCTTCTTTCTCTCTTTTCTTCTTTCTCTCTCTCCTTCTTTCTCTCTCTCCTTCTTTCTCTCTCTTCCTCTCTCTTTTCTTCTTTCTCTCTTCCTTTCCTCTCTTCCCTTTCTCTTTCTCCCTATCGATCCTTCCCCCCTACCCTTTTTATAGCAATTTTTTTTCTTTTTATTTATTTAATTACGTAATCATAAATGCAGTAATTATGATTTTGATAATGTTTATCTTTTAAGATAAGATAACGTTTATCTTTTACATTAATTGAGATGTTACATTTCTCCCATACTTACAGAAATTTCGTCCTCGAAATTTTTAGCGACTAAAATAAATAGGGGTAACTTTCCGTGATTTTCTTTTCTAATTCCCATGTAGCGTCTCTAGTACTTTCATTCCAAACAACCTTTACTAGTGTGATTTGTCTTCCCCTCAGTTGCTTGATCTTCATATCTGTAATCTGTACAGACATTGTTTCAAATGTAAGGTTATCCTTTAATTGTACTGTATCTGGCATTATTATATGAGAAGGGTTAGAAATATATTTTCTTAATTGAGACACATGAAACACATTATGAAGATTAGAAAGAAAAGGGGGTAAGGAAATTTGATAAGCAACAGGACCTATTTTTCTAAGAATTTGATAAGAACCAATAAATCGAGGAGTGAGTTTCTTGGCTTTCATTACTCTACCAACTCCAGTTGTCGGTGTTACTTTCAAGAATACATACTCACCTTCTTGGAATTCAAGGGGTCGTCTTCTCTTGTCAGCATACTTTTCTGTCGACTTTGAGTTGTTCTTAATTTTTCCCTAATCATCTTAATTTTCTCCGTGGTTTGTTGAATCATGTCAGGACCTAAGATTAAATTTTTCTCCAGTCTCAAACCAACATAAAGGTGTCCTATATTTTCTCTCATACAATGCCTCATAGGGTGCCATACCTATGCTAGAATGAAAACTGTTGTTATAAGTAAATTCAATTAATGATAAGTATCGATCCCAGCTACCAGAATCTTCTAACACACATGCTCTCAACAAATCTTCCAAGGACTGAATGGTTCTTTCTGATTGTCCATCAGTTTGAGGATGATAAGCTGAGCTAAGATGAAGCTTAGTTCCTAAGGCTTGATGTAGGCTTCCCCAAAATTTAGAAGTAAACCTAGGATCCCGGTCAGAAATAATACTAGATGGAACTCCATGTAACCTCACAATTTCTTTTATGTACAATTCAGTCAGTTTCTCTAATGAATACCTCATGTTAATGGGTAGAAAATGAGCAGACTTTGTCAACCTATCCACGATAACCCATATGGAATCAAATTTTTGAATTGTTCGTGGTAAACCAACTATAAAGTCCATTGTAATACTATCCCATTTTCACTCAGGTATGTCTAAAGATTGTAACATCTCTGCAGACCTTTGATGTTCTATCTTAGATTTTTGACAAACTAAGCACGATGCTACATATTGTGCTACTTACTTCTTCATTTTAGGCCACCAAAATATTTTCCTAAGATCTTGATACATTTTTGTTGTGCCTGGATGTATGCTCAATTTACTCTTATGTGCTTCATCTAAAATCAGCTTTCTAATCTCTACATTATTAGGCACACATACTCTACCACTAAATCTCAAAATTCCTGCTTTATCAATGCCAAATTTTTCTCAATTCTTTTGTCCTATCAACTTCTTTTTCTTTTGAATAAATTCATCAACTACTTGTGTCTCTTGAATTTGTCTTTGTAATCCACTAATAATCTGAGTTAAGTTTAATTTTATTCTATCAGGATTTATGGTAATTGATAAATTCATGTTTCTGAACTCTTCTAGCAGACTCATCTCATGTATCATAAGAGAAGAGACATGTAAAGATTTTCTACTTAAAGCGTCTGCTACTACATTTGCCTTTCCTGGATGATAATGTAATTCAAAATCATAATCTTTCAAAAATTCCATCCATCTTCTCTGTCTCATATTTAACTCTTTTTGATCAAACAAGTATTTAAGACTTTTATGATCACTAAAAACCTCAAACTTACCACCATACACATAATGTCTCCATATTTTGAGTGCAAAAACGATGGCGGCTAGTTCTAGATCATGAGTTGAATAATTTTTCTCATGTGTTCTTAATTGTCTCGAGGCATATGCAACTACCCTTCTATCTTGCATAAGAACACATCCTAATCCCATTTTGGAAGCATCACAAAATATCACAAAATGTCCAGTTGGGTTAGGCAATGCTAGTACAGGGGAAGTGATTAATCTTCTCTTAAGTTATTGAAAACTATTTTCGCACTTTTCTGTCCATTCAAAAACTTGACCTTTCTTGGTGAGTTGGGTTAAAGGCATAGCCATTTTAGAAAATCCTTCAATGAATCTCCTATAATATCCAGCCAAACCCAGGAAACTACGAATCTCAGTCACTGTTTTTGGTCGATCCCATTGTAGAATTGCTTCTACCTTAGTTGGGTCTACTGACACTCCCTCTTTGGAAATCACATGACCTAAAAATTTCACTTCTTTTAACCAAAATTCACACTTAGACAATTTAGCATACAATTGTTTGTCAGAGTATGTGTATTATCAAGAGAATTTTTGTTAAAGAAACTTTGAATGTTGTATTATATTTGGGAGGATCAAAACTAGTTGTTAAATGCTATGTTTGTTTAGGTTTTGCAGGTGATCTTGATGAGTTTACCTTTGATGGAGAAGCAAAACTGGTTATCCAAGTTATAAGATTTTGTAACTTTATTTATTACAAAAGTTGAGTACATGACAGTCATCCAGATATGTAAGAAATCTATTTGAATTAAGAGAATAATGGAGGAACTCGGGTACAAACAATAAAAGATTATTTGGTATTGTGACAGTGAGAGTGTCTTGCACATTCCAAGGAATCTTGCATTGTATTTCAGCACAAAGCAAGAAGAATCTAATAAATGTTATGACAGGTCGGTTAATAATGACAAGTTTACGTAGAATCAATCCAATTGAATGTTATTTATTACAAAATAACAATATGGAAGACAATAATAGTGAATTGTGAATATTTGATTAATTTAATCAAAATCTTTAGGAGAATGTGAGAAGAAAAATTTCACATCAAAGAAATTATATATTAATACTTACTTTTCCTTATATAAAAGAAATAATGTCTACCTTGTAAATAATCCAAAATATTTTTCTTCTTTCTAATAATGCATTGTATAGTAGTTGCGTTCTTTTATTTTTTAAAATGAATATTATTATTGTTTTCTCTTAAGATTCAAAAAGAGTATTATAATTTCTACCGTTAGTAAAATTTTACTATTATTTATTATCGATTTTTTTTATCATCTTTTATTTGTGTCAAGAATATTTTTAATATATGATTTCAACTACATATAGTTGTATTAGTTTCTGTGTTAAAATAATATTGACATATATGCATTGTTTGAAATTGAAGTAATCTCCATTTGATTTAAAGAAATACAAGTAATTATGGAAGTTTGGCGATGGTGGATTTATTCATTGAAAATGAGGCACTCAAAATGTTGAAACTTTCTTGAGACAAATATATCAATTACCTTCAACTAAACAATATTTTTGTCCAAATGATGTTTTGATCATGAGAAAAATACAACTAATTATTAATAAAATGTACATGATTATCAATAAAAAAATGTAAAACAACAATAAATTCCAACTTATTTCCTTGTCGAAGCATTAACATGGCCAAATGTCGGACTCAAGCGAGAGGATGGGCTCTTCAAGTTCCTGATTTTTTTCGTTTAAAAAAAAAATACAAGGAATGTTAGGTCTCACCGATGTAAATAAAAATCAATAAAATTTATATCCACAACAAAATCATAAATACTACAAAAATAAAGATATACAAAGAAATCAACGTCACAATCAATTGGAAATAATTGATGTACCCAAAACACTAACACTAGGCTTTCACATAAACTGAGCCCAATCTCCACGTCCGTTGCGCAAAAGAAATATTTCTTCATGGGTATTTTAAGATACTTAGATAGCAAAATAGCTACAAGAGTGAAAAATAAAGACAAATTTATTATTCAAATGGTAAATAATGTCGTATATTTTTTTATTAACTTTTAAAATTTTAATTATAACAAAAATATCTAATTTTTAGAAAGTAAAAATATGGGAAAAAAAAAGAGATGTAGAAAATTGAAAATAAAAACAGTTGTTTATAATATCATTACCTGCTAACTTGAATCCGGCCTCAATATTTTGACATGAATATTGTCTGCTAAATTATTCAAGAACTGGAAATAGGCATGTCGCCATGAACGCTTGAATAAGATTGAGCCAAACACCATCCAGAAGCTTACAACAAATCCAAATCCCATGCTCATAAAAAATTCATTATTAAAAAATGAATCTTCTTTCTTATCAACTTCAACTTTTGGTTCTTGCGTTCGCCCTTCATCCATGCATAATTTCTTAAGTGGTGGTCCACAAAGATCGAAATTATCTTCGTAGCTCCAACTATTGAAACTCTGTAACTGTGTGCCGGTTGGGATTTCTCCGGTTAGATAGTTATGTGACAAATCAAGCACACCAAGTCCATAAATTTGAGTAAGACTTCTAGGAATTGAACCAACAAGCTTATTTCTTGACAGATCAAGAGATTCAAGTGATGCTAACTCTCCAATACTTGAGGGAATTTTTCCAATCAAATTGTTTCTTGATAAGTTCAATGAAATCAATCCAGATAACTTCTCTATTTCTACGGGAATTTCTTCTGAAAAATGATTACTTGAGAGATCAATGTTTTTTAAAAGTGATAATCCATTATTCTCAAACATTTGTTCCGAACCTTTCCACGTCAACAATGCATTCAAATAGTATGACAAACGGGCTACGAAAAAACCCGGTTGGGTAAAATTCACATGATATGTTGATTCTGTATTGAAGATGTTGTTTGAGCCATGAAAGTAAAGTTTCTTACGCATTTTGGAATTTTTTCAGAAAGGTTGTTTTGTGAGAGATCCAAGAGCTGAATGTTTCTTAAACAACAAATCTCTAACGGTAAACTCCCATAAAATTGATTCTCTCTCAAACTTAAAATTTGCAATTCTTTGTTTGTCCCAATCCAGTTAGGAATAAGCCCAGAGAGTTTGTTTTTTGACATATCTAGCATTAATAGCTCTCTGCAATTTCTCAGTGAGAAAGGGATCCCTCCTACGAAATTGTTGTTTCTCAAAAACAATGCTTGAAGACCATGAAGCAATCCCATTGAAGTAGGAACCTTTCCTGAAAATTCGTTCTCACTCAAGTCTAAATAAATTAATGACTTGAAATTGTTCCAACAATCTGGGATTTGTTCAGAAAATTGATTATTTGAAAGATCTAATTGGTGTAAAGTGTCAATTGTACCATTTGCACATAAAAACAAAATAGAATCGGAGAATTTGTTTTTGGATAAATCCAGAGAGAAAAAATTCCTTAGAAAGAGAGGAATAGGGCCTTCAAATTGATTTGATCTAAGGGATAGGAAAGACTGACGATTATTTTGTGGAAAATTTGGAATTATCCCTTGTAGATGAAATATTCACTTCCATATAGTTTTGCAAATGTAATTTAGTCCAAAACCATTCAGGAACAATACCTGATATCATAGCATTTGAAATGTCAATATTCTGAATTTCATTTTGTGTCTGCAACCATTTTGGAAATGTTGGACCTAGATTGCAAGATCTCAATCCTATGGACTGCAACTGAAAAGGTGGGACCCAATTGTGGCTAAATGCCAAGGCCAATGAGTTGTCAGATAAGTCCAAATTGATTAACTTGGACATATTAATAAAATGATAGTCAGTGAGCAGACCTTTTAAGAAATTGGATTGCATATCTAGTACTTCCAATTGAGGTGGAAATGGAATATCTTTAGGAATCTCTCCATTTAGCTTGTTTTCGTAAAGAGATAGTTCTTTTAAAGATGTGAATGTTGAGAGGTCAGGTAGTGTACCATTTATTTGATTCATCTGTAGATGAAATTCTTCCATTGAATATCTAGCACATCCCGACAAGTGATGAATTATCGTCGGAAACTCACAATTGAAGCTATTATTAGCCATGTTCAGTGAGCGTAATGCACATGCATTCCCAAATGATTTTGGAATGCCACCTTGTAAGGAGTTTGAGTTGATTGACAAAACCTCCAAATTTGATGGTAACCTGACACCTTCTGGTATCTTGCCAATTAACTGGTTTTCCGAAAGATCCAACACTTGCAAGGTTGAAAATATTGAGAGATCAAGTAACGTACCGCTGATCTTATTTCCACCCAACCTCAATATTTTTAGCGAGTTTCTTGCACATCCAGACAAGTGATGGATTATCATTAGAAGATTTACATTTAAATTGTTATAAGATAGATCAAGTGAGCCCAAAACACATGCATTCCCAAATGATTTTGGAATTCCACCTTCTAAGGAGTTTGAGTTGATTGACAAAACCTCCAAATTTGATGGTAACCTGACACCTTCAGGTATCTTTCCATTCAAATTATTTTCATCAAGAACCAATGTTTCAAGAGATGGAAATATTGACAAGTCAGGTAAAGTGCCAGTGATGTGATTGTATCTCATATCCAGTTCTTGTAGCGAGTGTTTAACACAACCACTAGACAAATTATGAAGAATGGATGAGAGAGATTCAGTCAAATTGTTTCGATACATGATTAACGAATGTAAGGTGCATATATTGGCGAAGGATTTCATATCCTCACCCTTGAATCTATTGGAGGTGAGGTCAAGGTGTCTAAGCGAATTCATGACCGTACCAAAATGACCCGAGGTGGAACCTTTTAAGAGGTTACCTCAACGAGTTCGGAACTGATGTTTGACACCCACGGGAATATCATCGATGACGTGAAGGTGTTCCAGGAAAGATCAAGGACAGAGAGAGAAGCAGAAAAATTGAACTTGGAAGGCCTCCATGACAGAATGAAGTGATCGGAAAGGCTACAACCAACTAACCTTAGTTCCCTTAGTTTTGGTCGCTTGACAATCTCTTGGAACCAACTATGAGAATGATTAAGATTTGATACAGAATATAAGGAAAGATGAGTTAAAGAAATGAGATTAGACAGCCACTGACCTCCATCGTCAATTTTGAGATTATCGTAATATCCTCCTGCAAGATAGAGCTCTTGTAAGTTTGAAAGGTTCCCAAGTTGAGATGGTATATTTCCTTCAAAAAAATTGTACCCAAGATCAAGATACTGCAATTGAGAGAGATTTTCAAGTTGAGATGGAATATTTCCTTCAAAAGAATTGTACCCAAGATCAAGATACTGCAAGTGGGAGAGATTTCCAAGTTGAGGAGGGATTGAACCCTCCAGAGAATTCCAAGCAAGATTCAAGTATTTCAAATGAGAAAGAGACCCAAGCTGACTGGGAATTTTTCCGCCAAATTGACATGACGACAAATCAAGGTATCTCAAGTTTCTTAAAGAACCAAGAAACTCTGGGATGTGACTGTCCGGAAAAGAATTGGAACTGAGGTTCAAATACTCTAATTCTCGCAACTCCATCAATGACTTGTGGATCTCTCCGCTGATATAACGTCCAGAGATTCCATAATCAACCTCTTCTCCGTGAATGTCGAGGCTTAAAATATGGGCAGTGAGGTTGCTGCAGTGAATCCCCTGCCATTGGCAACAATGAGGAGTGGACCAAGATGAGAGCATGCCATTGTGAAGAACAAGGGCACCCTTGAATCGAAGGAGTGCTTCCCTCTCCTCTGGTATGCACCTTATTTCCTCTTCACCATGAACAACCTGTAACAGCAGACACACCGTAAACACGATGAATGTGAAACGAACTGGATGGGTCATTGATGTTGAGACGGTTACCATGAAAAAGGCAACGTGATGGATAAAAGAGATCGAAGAACTGTTGAGTTTAACGCTGTCAAGAGCCATTAATATAACATCTCATGCATCCATCCATTCTCATAAAAAAAAAAAAAAAGAAACATTAAACGTACTGAAATGAAAAATATTCCCTTTTTCCTAACTTTACCTGGTACTTTTTATGTAATTTAATTTTGAAAATATTATTTATGGTTCACAATGTATGATAAAAACTTATTTATAATTTGTTGAAGGGGTGTGCCTTCTTCCTAATACACAATAAAAATACATGTCAATGGTATATAGTGAAGGCACTTGAATATTTGATGATTAGTCAAAAAAACTTACTTAATCACAATACAAAACATAATTTGAAAACTAATAACCCTAATTTGTAAATCGATTAATACAATAATTAAATATTTTTTTCTTTTAAATCAGTTTTTATTTCATGAATATTTTATCGGGTAATATATAAATTTTATATTGTAAGAGTAAAAGAAAAGAAAAAGCAGAAAGTGATGGGAGTTTGGGAAGACTTGGAAAAGTCTTTCGTTAACAATGACATTTTGTAGTGAAGACTGGAGAAGTCTCTCGTCAACCCATCAAATTAATAATTTATTTAAAATAATAATTAATCAAAAAATCTTATATTAAAAACAAATTCTAAAAAAAAACTACGGCTATATGTATTATATATACATATATATATTTCTAATCTGTATAAATTTATTATAATTGTATATTTGCGAATTTATATACAAACATAAGACATAGTCTAAGTGATCAAATATTGAATTCATTTTCATCTTTTAATTTTTAATAGGAGATAATGCTACATTTGTTTCTTTATCACTATTTTTAAACTTAAATTTGTTAGCACAATCTACATAGAAACAATATTTTTTTCTATTTTCAATAATTACTAAAATGTATAATACTTATCAATATAATGAAAATGCAGAAATTGACTTCATATATTACAAAAGTTTGTCTTTCATCTTTTTTCCTAATAAGAACATATGAACTAAAATGGGAGAGCGTAGCACAGTTTCATATATCTTTGGTGAATTTTTGTGATCATATCTAACACTCGTTATATTATATCCGATAAAAATATTAATAAAAAATAATCAATCTAGAAAATAGAGTAATATTTATTTTTGAGCTGTTTTGGATTTGTTTTGAAATACTTGTTAAAATGAAAAAATTGTATGAGATTTGATATATGTAATTCGTTCATGGATTTGGGATAGTGTTTAAAATTGCGTAAAAACTACTCAAGAGTTAGAGAAAATGTTACAATCAATTGTATGGATATTTATGTCCATGATAAAAATTCGGTCAAATCCACATAAAATGAATGAATGTGGAAATTTGAATGCCCATGTATGTATGACTTTGAAACGAACAAAAAATCGAAAAGGCATAGAAAAGAATCCCAACATCGCATTAGGTTAAACAATAAATGTTCCAACTGGTAGGAACAAGACAGAAATACTTAGAAAATTAGGTCATCGTGAATCAATAACTTATTAAAAATGTAATCTATTTTTCTAAAATAGTGATGCTTATTTCTTCTTTAAAAAAAAAAAAAATTGATTATGAGGGAAAGTAAGAGTGTGGGAAGACTTGGAAAAGCATCACATGATTACTTGTTTCCATGTATCACATTGCAGGACTTGGCAAATTTAGGAGGAATGAGTCAATGCATTCCAATTGAATTCGTCACAATTATAGTCCATCAAAATTGCGATGGGGTGGACGAATGGGTATTAGTTTAGATGGATTACAGATGGAAGAGGCTGAACGGATTTGTTAGTCATTTTTTTTATATAAAATTTATTTATATATTTTTAAAAATATTTTTAATTATATGAATAATTTTTAAATTCTTATTTATTAATTAATATTTTGATTAAATAAAATAAAAATATTATTATATTTATGTATTAAAATAATTAATAATTTAAAATTAATTAATATTTATAATTTAAATTATAATATATTTATATATTTTAATAACAAAATAAAAAAAATCTAATATTTTAAATTATAATTTTTTATTTTAAATTTATTATATAAATATTTTTTAAAATGAGTTAGCATGTCAACTCATCTTATCTGGTACTTCTTTCACCAGATTAATGAGTTAGAGAGAATGAGTTAAAAAGGATTGATGATCACAACCAAACTTAGGTAGAAAAATTAAAAGCAATAAAGTGGTAAACTTTATTTTTCCAATCTCAACATGGTACAAACTGTTACCCTGATTCTTTATTTGGTATTCATGACAAAATTGTTAGTTCAATTTAAATAGATGGATACGTCATTTTTTTTATTAAATAATTAATTGAAAAATTTAAAATAAATAAATAAAATTGAAAATTAAATATACCAAATATATATATATATATATATATATATATATAATATAATATAATACTTATTAAATAATGACAAATTAAGTAAAAAATTATATGCACAAATTCGTTTACAAATAAACTTCATGCAATTAAACTTTTTATAAACAAGTAATTTCATTACAACAAAACAAAAAATTTTAAGTGGTTAAAATATATAGCAATTATAAATTATATATATGGGAGTTATCTATTAACACCATCCAAAAGTTTATTATTAACAACAGAGCAAATAAATAGAAAGTTCTTATATATTATTGTCTTTAATTTCAACCATATATGATAGATTCATAAAATTTGAGTCATGTATTACGTGTATACCTCTTGCAAAATTGAAAATGAGACACTCTTCAATGAAAAATTTAGCATTTATTAGAATATCTATTCCAATAATATATTTATCAAATCAGATCTCTATATTGAGTTTAAGAAATCCTTTTAAATTTTAAATTTTCATAATTTAACTATCACTCAAATAATTTTTAGTTTAATTATTTAAATATATTACATTTATTTATTTTTATAAGTATTAATATAACAAATTGATCCATAAATTATTTAATATATTTGTTTATATGATGATGATTGAGTTTTTTTTATAAAGACAAAATATATTTTGTTCTGAGTATCAATTAGAAATTTAGGAAATTCTAATTCTCTAATATGAGATTATAAAATATAATAAAGACTTGTATAAAATACTTATATAATAAGAAATCGTTTTAAATAAAGTATTATTAGAATCTATCATCGTACTTATATACATTAATTTGAGAAAAAAGTATTGATTTTTTTTAAATACTATTATAAAGAGTATCATGTTAAAATTTGTATAATCAATAATGATCAAATATTTTAGTTTGTTATCTAATAAGCTGAACATATTTTTATCTTATAAATAATAACTTATATATTTCTATTTTATATCAAAGAATAAATATATTAATGAGTTCATATTTTTCAAGTTTATGTATATAAAATAAACACTAAATGCAGATTTATATGTTTTTGCAAATATATGTAGTATCTTTTAAATAAAAAGTTTCAACATAAACTCATTATATTAAAACAATAGTTTTTATTTCTGTATGTTTAAAAGATATATATGTATACTGAATGTATCATAAATTATCAATAAATGTTATTTTTTTATATGTAATTCTTTAAGTGTTGTTAACATTTGTGTTGAGTTTTTGTTAATAATACATAAGTAGACACAATAAGTTTTTCTCAAATATAAACACAACTAAAATTTTAAGTAATTAAAATGTTAAAATAAAATAAAAAAGTTCATATGGCTTATTTCGTCTTGAGAGAAAAAATAAATAAAATTATTGTAAGCGTAAAAGAAAAGAAGAAATATAAAGTGATGGGAGTTTTGAAAGGCTTGGAAAAGTCTTTCGTTAACATTCAATAATTTATCTATTAACATTCTGAAAACGTTGTCATTTAAAATAAACAAAGGATAAATAAATAGTTTATCGCAAATAATTATTTCTTTAAATGGATAAATAAAATTTATGATTTTTGTTTTCAATAAAAAGATTGAACATTATAAAGAAATAAACAATTGATAAATAAGTAGACCAAAAATATATTTTACAATTGCAAAATGTTATTTAACTACAAAAATATATTTTAATAAATCTCCTTGAACTATGATTTTATTTGTCAATTTAATATTTAATTAATTAAAAAAAATAAATTTAATGTTTTAATATATTATAATCACTATTAGAGTTAAACAGACCATCGTATAATTTATTTTGGATTGAAGACGGAGAAGTATCTAGTCAACTTATTAAATTATTAATTTATTTAAAATATCAATTAATAAAAATTATTATATTAAAAAAAATTATAGAAAAATAGTCTGAATGTATTTAAACTGTCCTTCATTTCGATTTTGGGTATATAAATTTTTTTAATTTCCAATAATTACTGAAATGTACCATACTTATTAATATAATGAAAATGCAGAAATTGGCTTCATATATTACTAAAGTTTGTCTTTTATCTTTTCTCCTAAGAAGAACAGTTGAACTAAAATGTGGGGAGCGGCGACGAGAATTTTGAATTTGGGTAAGTTTTCTTTTCCTATCTTAATTTCTCTCTTCCGTATGGGGTCGTTTGCTTCGCATGTTGGATCTAATGAATAAATAAATATAAGTTTCTGCTAAATTAGTTGTTTTTATGTGTTTGATAGTAACCGACGATGGTTAAAAGAGGTTTACAATGAAATTATTTGTTATTAAACAAATATAAAATATGTTGTCCACACGTGTCTAATGTAGTCCAAGACATTCGTGTCCAATAGAGATGGTTGATGAAAAAACTGCATTGTATGTAAATAAGTTTTTATAAGTAGATAAATAATTTATAACTATCTTTGATATAATACTTTTGAATGTCTACTTTTCTTACTTGTTCTCAACCTTTTCTATTCATGCTAACATAATAGCTCTTTATCTATTAAATTACGTAATAATAGGATCTTCTTAAGAATTTAGGGTTGTATTTCCTTAAAATTTTATAATTCTTATATAATTTATGATTTTAATTTATTAAATTTAATAAATATTTAATATATTTAATTATATATTTACAATTTTATTTTTTAAGTCATTCTTTAATTTTATAATTTTTATATAATTTATAATTTTGTTCCCTTCAAACTTAATAATCATCTACAATTTTATACTTTCATCTTTTTTTTTATATTTATTTATTATTTATTAATAATATATTATTAGATCTCCACAAATAATTTCCAAAATCCGCTACTCATTCTCTTCAAATTGTCTATTATAACGTAACTTAACATAAACATAAATAATTTTATTAAAAGAAAACATAGAGCAAAATTTATGATTCATACGGTTTTAATGAATTTTTGTGATTATGGAAATTTAGTTAAAACATAATATAATATTTTGATAACACAAAGAAATTAACGGTGAAGTTTGGATTTGTTTTGTAATACATGTTTGTAAAAATGAAAAGTTTGTATGAGATTAAAAATGTAATATATTTTTCTAAAATAGCGATGCTTATTTCTTCTTGAAAAAAAAAAAGACATTAATTCTGAGCGTAAAATAAGAGTGACTAGAGAAAGACTTGGAAAAGGATCACCCATTAGATTATTTGACCCCATACATCATGTTGCAAGGCTTGGAAAATTGAAAGCAATAATAAAGTCTTAAACTTTATTTTTTTCCAAGTTCAACACGATACAAATTACTACCCTAATCAAGGAGAGAGACTTAAAAGAAGACTTGAGTTATGGAATAACATAAATCAATCAATGCATGCGGAAATTTGTTTGAAATGACATGGCCCCTTTATATGTACGACTTTGAAACAAACAAACCAATAATCACTCATTATGTCAAGCAATAAATGTGGAAATTTCTATGCAGTTACGTCGCACCCGTATTTGACTAAGCAAGAAAAGAAAACAACGAAGGAGAAAACAATAAATGTTGAAATTGTATAAAGTAGCATGACATAGTAGGAACGAAACAAAAAGACTTGGAAAATTGAAAGAAATAAAGTAGTAAACTTTATTTTCCAAGTTGAACATGCTACAAACTACTACCCTCCCTCCCTTCACAATTCTCTCCATAAGTGAATGGATTATCATAGCAAAATATTAAATCAAAATTAATAATAATAATAATAATAATAATGAAATATATTTTTAATACAAATTGTAAATAGCATGAGTATATTTTTCTTTTCTCTTTATTAAACCATTTGCTGTTTGCATGAAGTGTTTCTTTTGGAGAAAACCTGGGTTGCCAAATCACTTGAATGGTTTGGAATATCAAGTGTTTCTTGTTTCACACTCTATGAGAATATTGTTTGAAATTCAAGTGATCTCCATTTGATTTAAACAAATACAATTAATTACCAGGGTTGAGTGATGATGGATTTATTGATGCAAAATTTGTGCCTCGTATTTTCCTTATTTCTCTACTCTTCGAAAATTGAAAATGAGGAACTCATAAATTTTGATTTTTTTTTAACTAAACAATATATTTGTCCAACGGAAGTTTTGATTATGAGAAAAATCAAGTAATTATTAATAAAATACATCATAATTTATATTTCATTATAACCACAACGATAATAAAAGTAGAGTCTTCTTCACGAAGTTTATTATTGCTTTAATCTATTCTAATGTACAAACTTCAAACGATATATTAGTAATGAACTCTTTTTTCTATAAGCACAGTAAAAAAAAAGTAACACAACCATAAATTCCAACTTATTTCCTTGTCCAAGCATTAGCATGCTCAAATGTTGGAGTCACACAAGAGGATAGGCTCTTCAAGTGCCTGAATTTTCTCATTAAAAAAAAAAAATACAATGAATGTTAGATCTCCCCAATGTAAATAAAAATTAATAAAATTCATATTCACAAAAGGAAAAAAAAATTCATATCTATATTTAATATTTTAAAGCAACAAGAATGAGAATACAATGTTAATTGCAAAATGATAAAAAACAAAACGAAATGCATAAGGAAGAAAATGAGATGAAGAAAATAATAATAAAAAAAAACAAAGCAAAACAACTTATAAAATTTTGTTGTTTTAAAACATAAAAAGGTTATATATTTTTTTTAAAATACCCAACGTTTTTTTATTAGTTTTTAAAAGGATAAAAGCAGATTTCAAGAGTAGGAAACAAACCAATTTGTTGCTGTGCAGACATTATTTCATGTCCCTAAATATATAACAAATGCTATTTTAGTTTATAGAGGATGACCATATAAATATTATTTATAATATGACATTCACTAATATTTGGAATAGTTATTATTTGTTAATTTTATTTTGATCAATATAAAATATATTGTAGAAATAATAAATAATAATGTATGAATATCTATCTTATGTAGCTAAAGGAAACAACAGATGTGTGTAATATGATTACCTGTTAACTTGAATTCACTGTCGGAATTTTAGTCAATAGTGCTACTTTGATATGAATATTGTCTGCTAAATTATTAAAAAAATGGAGATAGGCATGTCGCCATGAACGCTTGAATAAGATTGAGCCAAACACCATCCAGAAGCTTACAACAAATCCAAGTCCCATACTCATGAAAAATTCATTATTAAAAAATGAATCTTCTTCATCAACTTCATCTTTTGGTTCTTCTGTTGGCCCTCCCTCAATACACAATTTCTCAAGTGGTGGTCCACAAAGATCCAGATTACCTTCGTACCTCGAACTACTGAAACTCTGCAACTGTGTGCCGGTTGGAATTTCTCCGATTAGATGGTTATGTGACAAATCCAGCACACCAAGTCCATAAATTTGAGTAAGACTTGGAGGAATTGAACCAACAAGTTGGTTTCTTGACAAATCAAGAGATTCAAGTGATGCTAACTTTCCAACATTTGAAGGAATTTTCCCAATCAAATTATTTCTTGATAAGTTCAATGAAATCAATCCAGATAATTTCTCTATTTCTACAGGAATTTCATTTGAAAAATAGTTGCTCGAGAGATCAATGCTTTTTAAAAGTGACAAACCCTCATTCTTAAACATATGTTCCGAACCTTTCCACATCAACAATGCATTCAAATCGTACGACTGATTGAATGAGATATTGTAACGACCGTAAGTAAGTAAATACCAATGTCCTCCATAATGAATTGAAGATGTTTGAGCCATTGAAGTAAAATTTTTTATGCATTTAGGAATTTTCCCAGATAAGTTGTTTAGAGAGAGATCCAAGAGCTGAATGTTTCTTAAACGACAAATCTGCAATGGTAAACTCCCATAGAATTGATTCATTCCCAAACTTAAAATTTGCAATTCCTTTTTTGTCCCAATCCAGTAAGGGATAGTCCCAGATAATTTGTTTTCTGACATATCTAGCATTACTAGCTTTGTGCAATTTTTCAATGAGAAAGGGATTTCTGCAACTAAAATGTTGTCTCTCAACAACAATGCTTGAAGGTCTAGAAGTGAACCCATTGAAGTAGGAATCTTTCCTGAAAATTTATTATGGCTCAAATCTAAATAAGTTAATGACTTGAAATTATTCCAACAATCTGGGATTTGTCCGGAGAATTGATTATTTGAAAGGTCCAAATACGAAGTTTGGATTGTACCATTTGCGCATAAAAACAAAGTAAAATCTGAGAATTTGTTTTTGGACAAATCAAGATACACAAAATTTCGTAGAAATAAAGGAATAGGGCCTTCAAATTGATTTGATCCAAGGGATAGGGATGGATAAGAATTATTTTGTGGAAAATTTGGAATTATCCCCTGTAGATTGTTGTATGAAATATTCACCTTCCCCGATTGTTGAAATTGTAATTTAGCCCAAAACCATTCAGGAACAATATCTGATATTTTTGAATTTGAAATGTCAATATATTCAAATTCATTTTGTGTCTGTAACCACATGGGAAATGTTGGACCTAGCTTGCAAGATCTCAATCCTATGCTTTGTAATTGAAAAGGTGGGACCCAGTTTTGGGTAAATGACAAGGCCAATGAGTTGTCGGATAACATCAATGTGTGTAACTTAGGCATATTAGCAAAATGAGAGTCAGTCAGTACGCCTTTTAATGAATTTGAATGCATGTAGAGTTTCTCCAATTGAGGAGGAAATTGAATATCTTTAGGAATCTCTCCATTTAGTTCGTTTCCGTAAAGATATAATTCTTTTAAGGATGTGAATGTTGAGAGGTCAGGTAGTGTACCATTCATTTGATTCATGTGTAGATATAATTCTTCCAATGAATATCTAGCACATCCAGATAAGTGATGAATTATCACAGGAAACTCACCACTAAAGCTATTATTAAACATGTCCAATAATTGCAATGCACATGCATTCCCAAATGTTTTTGGAATTTTACCTTCTAACGAGTTTGATTGGATTGAAAAAGACTCCAACGTATTTGGCAATTTGTTACCTTCTGCTATCTTGCCACTTAATTGGTTTTCTGAAAGATCTAACACTTGCAGGGTTGAAAATATTGAGAGATCAGTTAATGTACCGTTGATCTTATTTCCACACAAGTTCAACTTCTGTAGTGAGTTTCTAGCACATCCAGATAAGTGACAGATTAAAGTGGGAAACTCTTCACTCAAGTTATTGGAAGACATATCCAATGATCGTAAAACACATGCATTCCCAAATGATTTTGGAATTCCTCCTTCTAAATTGTTTGATCTAATTGACACAAGCTCCAACAAAGATGGCAATTTGTTATCTTCTGATATTTGTCCACTTAACTTATTCTCTGAAAGATCCAATATTCTCAAGACTAAAAATATTGAAAGGTCAGGAAGTGTACCATTGATTTGATTGTCTATCAAGTACAATTCATGTAGCGAGTATCTAGCACATCCCGACAAGTGACGAATTATCACCCGAAGATCTTTATTCAAATTGTTAAAAGATAGATCTAGTGAGCTCAAAGCACATGCATTTCCGAATGATTTTGGAACTCCACCTTCTAAAGAGTTTGATTTAATTGATAGAATCTCCAACTGAGATGGTAACATGGCACCTTCAAGTATATTTCCGCTCAAATGATTTTCATCAAGAACCAATATTTTTAGAGATGAGAATGCTGACAGGTCAAATAGAGAGCCAATTATTTGATTACGAGACAGATCCAATTCTTGTAATGAGTGTCTAGCACAACCACTAGACAAATTATGAAAAATGGATGGGAGGGATTCAGTCAAATTGTTTCCATACATGATTAACGAATGTAAGGTGCATATATTCATGAAGGATTTCATGTCTCCGCCCTTGAATCTATTTAAGGACAGGTCAAGGTGTCTAAGCGAATTCATAACCGTGCCCAAATGACTTGATGTGGAACCCTCTAAGAGGTTATGACTAAGGTCAAGCTCAACAAGGTTGGAAGAGATGTTCGACACCCACTGGAATATCATCGGTGAGGTGAAGGAGTTCTCAGAAAGATGAAGGACCGAGAGAGAAGTAGAAAAATTTAACTTCAAAGGCCTCCATGACAGAATGATGTGATCAGAAAGGCTACAATCAACTAAACTTAGTTCCCTTAATTTTGGTAACTTGGCAATCACTTGCAACCAACTATGAGAATGATTAAGATTTGATACAGACTGCAAGTAAAGATGGGTTAAAGAGAAGAGATTTGTTAACCACTCACCTCCATCGTCAATTTTGAGAGTATCATCATAAAATCCTCCAACATAGAACTCTTCTATGTTTGAAAGGTTCCCAAGTTGAGATGGTATATTTCCTTTAAAAGAATTGTATCGAAGATCAAGATATTGCAACTGAGAGAGTTTTCCAAGTTGACGAGGGAAATAATAATTACGAGAAAGATTTAAGTATTTCAAATGAGAAAGTGACCCAAATTGACTAGGAATCTTTCCGCCAAAATAACATAATGACAGATCAAGGTATCTCAAATTTCTAATTGAACCAAGAAACTCCGGGATGAGACTGTGAAAAATAATTGGAACTGAGGTTCAAATACTTTAATTGTCGTAACTCCATCAATGACTCGTGGATCTCTCCGCTGATATAACGACCAGAGTTTCTATAATAGAAATATTCTCCGTGAAGGTCAAGGCTTAGAATATGGGTGGTGAGGTTGCTGCAGCGAATCCCCTCCCATTGGCAACAGTGAGGAGTGGACCAAGATGAGAGCATGCCATTGTGAAGAACAAGGGCACCCTTGAATTGAAGGAGTGCTTCCCTCTCCTCTGGTATGCACCTTATTTCCTCTTCACCATGAATAACCTGCAACACCAGACACACCGTAAACACGATGAATCTGAAACGAACTGGATTAGTCATTGATGTTGAGGCGGTTATCATGAAAAAGGAAAAGTGATGGATAAAAGAGATTGAAGAACTGGTGAACACATCATAGATATTTGATGGGTCATACATTGGATAGTATATCCTAGGTAATGCATTCAACATAATAATTCACCGTTTTATACAAAGATATCACATTAATTTTTTATTTTTTATTTTAATTCCGTTGTTTGTGGGAACCATTTTTTCACACACATCTAACCATATTCGTTGTACTTTTTGGATCAAACCTTGGAAAAAATACGTTAAGAATGAAAAAAAGAATCCCATCATCTTATTAGGTTAACCAATAAACGTTCATTGTACAGGTCGTAGGAACAAAACAAAAAGACTTAGAAAATTAGGTCATCGCCATTCATAAAGCAATAACTTATTAAAAATGCAATAAATGGATGGATAAAGTTGATTATTTTTTAATTAAATAATAAATTTAACATTTTAAAATAAATAAATAAAATTGAAAATTAGATATATCAAAAATATAATTTATAATTCTAAAATATTATTTAATTACAAAAATATAGCTTAATAATTCTGCTTAGACTATTGCTTCATTTGGGAATAGAATATTTAACAAATATAAAAAAAGAGTTTAAACTTTCAAAACAAAACAGTATTCTTTAGTGCTGTTATATATCAATGAAACATTTTGCATGGAAGACTTGAGAAGTCCATTGTAAACCCATCAAATAAATAATATATTTTAAATATCAATTAATAAAAAATTATAGAAATTATAAATGATATATATGGGAGTTATCTATTAACACTATCCAAAAGTTTATATTATTGGCAGAGCAAATAAATAGAGAGTTATCTGTGGAAATCATTCATTCTATTCTCATCCTCTTTCATTCAACCATATATGCGTATATGATGGATTCATAAAATTTGCGTCTTGTATTTGTGTCTATACACCTCTTGCAAAATTGAAAATGTTGAAACTTCCCTCAGGCAAATATCTGAAATATATTACCAACTTTCAATTATAGGAAAAATATGGGGTGCTCAATGAAAAATTTAACATTTATTAGATTATTTGTTCCAATTATTTGTTAACATCTATACTTAGAAACAAATGTCCCTCACCTCTCAATACCTGGTACTGTTTGTGAATCAAACAAAGAGGAGAGACTTAGAAGAAGACTTGAGTCATCGCATTGCAAAAATCAATGAATGAATGTGGAAATTTGTATAAAGTGGCATTACAAAAATCAATGAATAAAACAAAAGACTTGGAAAAATGAGTCATCTCAATAAGTAAAGCAATAAAGTAGTTAACTTTATTTTCCGAGTAATTGCCAACCAATGCTACATTTGTTCCTGTATGATTAGTTTTATTAAACTCAAATTTATTAGCTCAATCTACATACAAACAATATTTAATTTTATTTTTCTATTTTCAATAATTACTAAAATGTATAATGCTTATCAATATAACGAAAAATTAGAACACAAATTATATGCAGAAATTCGCTTACAAATAAACTTAGCAATTATAAAAGATATAGATGGGAGTTATCTATTGACACCATCAAAGTTTATTATTAATAACAGCAAATAAATATATAGGGGGTTTATCTGTTACTGCTAGAAATCATGTCTCTTTAATTTTAAAGTTTTTTCATTTAATTTTATTTTTTATTTTAAAAAAATAATTTTATAGATCAATTTAAATAAAATTATTTCTAAAAATAAATTAAAAAAAATGATAACATAGTTCATAATTTTTTTATACGAAAGAGAGTAATATATAGATGACGATAAAAAAATTAGAGTAAATTTTAAAACAAATTCTCAGAACTTTATAATAGTAATTATTAATGAAAGTGTGAATGTAATTAACAAAAAAAATATATACACAATATATATTTTATTAATTTTAATTTTAATTTGTTTAAAATATTATAAAATAATTTTTTAATTTTGAAAAATTAAAAAATATTTTCAAAAACAGTAAATAAAAATAACCTTACAACTCCACTGGAGTCATGGCATTACATAAGTCAATGAACTTAAAAATTTGTATGAAGTGCCTTTGAAACTAACAAACGAAAACACTTGGAAAATAATCCAATAATGAGACATTAGGTTAAACGTGGAAATTTTTATAAAGTGTTTGAAAATAAAATATTTATTTTATAATCCTCCAACTATAAAAAGTTTTATTGTTAATTTATGTGGATTATTTTACTACTAAATATAATTTTAAGAAGCAATTTGCACTACAAGAAAAATCGTTATTAGCGACCGAAAAAATCGGTCGCTAATGACTAAAAATCGATCGCTATTACGTTAGCGATCGAAATTAGCTGACCGAAATAGTTGGTCGCAAAAAGGCAAGTCGCTAATTCGTTAGCGACCGAATTACATATCGGTCGCTAAATAGCGACCGATCTGAGTGGTCGCTAAATAATTTGGTCACTTATTCTTTGGAGACCAAATTAGCGACCGAAAATAATATAATAAATCGATCGCCAAATCGATCGCTAAATCAGTGGTAAAATTTTAAAAATAGCGACCGATATATTCGATCGCTAATATATTAATATAATTATTTAAATAATAATTAAAATCGGTCGCTAAATCGGTCGCTAATATATTAATTGAATTATTTAAATAATAATTTAAATTGGTCGCTAAATCGGTCGCTAATTTTGAATTTATACTAAATTTTTAGCGACCAAAAATTCGGTCGCTAATCTAACCAAATCTGAAAATTTTCATTTAAAATTTTGTATATCCAATTTGACAAAATTTGTACCTGTTTAATTCATCCAAACATAACACAAATAAAAACTTAAGAACTAAAGTCAAATTATTCAAATCATAAAATTTGTACCTGCTTAATTCATTCAAACATAACATAAATGAAAACTTAAGATATAAAGTCAAATTTTGTATATCCAATTTTACAAAATTTGTACCTGCTTAATTCATCCAAACATAACACAAATGAAACTTAAGAACTTAACAACTACTCAAGATTCAAAGTCTTAATATCATAAAATTGAAAATTAGTCCTCTGGTATATTGTCAGTGTCATGTTGACTTGTAGTAGGAATTTTATGAAGGAAGCCAAGATCTATTAATTATTCTATTATAATAATAATCCTAATTAATAATTGAAAGTCATTCTTTGAGGAAGCCAAGATCTGTCTGATTCTGGATCAATGAAGGTGTGACTCAGAAACTGCTCAGCTCCTTCATTCTTCAATTCTCTGGCCCATTTCACTCTTTGGGATGGACAGAAACCTGGTCCAGAACACCTGCACTCTTATCAAATTACTCCAAACTTGTTCAACTCAATAAACAACAATTTTATACACTTTAGACCCTCTTGCAAAAACCACTCTTGCAAAAGGTCTCCATGGTCTTCCCAGATATGCATATGAAGTTCCCCCATTACCTGTGACAACACATCTGCAATGACACCACAAACAAAACATCATGTAAGGAACCAAAATGTTCACAACATAATAAAAGTACTTTACTTGTGTAGTATCCTTTCTTGGACTCGGAAGTTTAACAGATTAACACACCAAAGAAACACTGTAAAGGGAGAGGAGCAAAATATTGACAAGGAAGCATAGAGTAGTATGAGATTCAAAGATTTTTATTCTAAGATTTCTTACAGGATTCCTGAATTCATTGAATTTTCAAGGGATCATTTCCCTAGCTTCAAGAGAATCTGGTTCTTGTTTTAACCTAGAATGTTTTTTTCTAATTAAATACTCCTAAATCCGTGTTAGCCATGCTTCTAAACATTTACAAACCAAACTGCAAAACTTAAAAGCAAGATCATCTTCAAAACCAACATTCTCTCATTATCTTAATCGGTTTTCATAAACATGACTCGGTCATGATGATAAACTTCAACCTAGGTACTTACTTGATTTCACATCGGAAGAACCAAGAGAGAACATATTTTGCCTTGGAATTGGAAAACAAAGTAAGAGTCACTAACACTTGTTGTATTGTAGGGGAAACAAGATGATTGGGAAATGTCTCTTTCCTTGTTAAACAAGTTACAATGACTAAAAAAAATATTATGTGGGAAGATGATGTTGTAAGTATTAGGCATGATCACACACCTCGAGGAATACATAACCAGTTTTTTCCTGTGGAGAGTTTCTGCTCTGTGCAGTTATAAACCCTGCGGACTTGCAATGGATGTGACAATGTTCCAAGAGTGCAGTACTATTACCAAAAATGAAGTCCACACTCCCTTCAATGTAACAATCTTTCCAGTATTGCTTTCCATAATGTAAGTACAGTGTGTCCTGCACTAATCACAAAATAAGTTTATTTATCACCTTGGTACCTCAGATTTTCCTCAAATGAAACAGAAGGATAATGGTGTACAAAACCATCTAGCCTAACAATCATGGCCTCTTGTTAATTGAAGATCTTATTATGTTTACGCAACACACTATAAAGGATACATCATGCACACATAACTTTCTAAAATCAAACTCAGAATAAAAATATGAAGACAGTGAAGCACCTGCCACCCAAGGAACCTGCAATTATAGAAAGCACAACGATCTGCTGTTACTCTGAGTGCCACTGCCTGCCCTGCACCCTACTAGGTAAAAGAGGGAAACAAAAGAACAATGTGCACAAGGTCTCTGCTAAAATTCCTTCATATTTTAAACATAACAATGGTGTTCATATTTTAAACAAAACAAAACAAGTTCCCAAATTGGTCTGTCAAGCACCACCAAATCCGCAGTAAGAGGGATCGAAGAACCTATCCACTTCACAAATCCACCTACAATAAACAGATAAAGAAATTCTGTCAAAAGTATCTCTCCTATATTATTCACAATGCAAGAGAATAACAATATATACATTCAAACAAGCCAAACCTTGGTTGGATTAGGTTAAGAACAGAGGTGTGGCGCGGTGGCAGAGGGTGCGGAGGAACTTCAGAACAGAGGTGTGGCGCGGTGGCTCACAGGGTGGCTCACAGGGTGGCGTGGTGGCTCAAAGGGTGACGAGGAGCTTTGGTGGAGGTTGGATTAGGGTGAGGGCTGACTTGGGGGGAGCAGTGAGGGGGCTAGACAGAGAATGGGTGAGTGAGGCGCGAGAGTTAGGGTTATTTGGGGATAAGTGGCGCGAGACAGGGAATTGAAAAATGTGGTTGTATATGATAGCGGTTAAATCTTAACCGCTATTATAATAACACTTCTAATAGCGGTTAAATATTAACCGCTATTATATAGCACATCTAATAGCGGTTACATCTTAACCGCTATTATATATTCTCAAATATGATCGATCATTTCAAAATGTAATCGATCATAACCAAAAAATGTGGATGTCGCTCGAGCGAGACAGTGTCGCTCAAGCGAAAAACCACCCGAGAAGGCCAATTTTGTGCAGGTAGCGTCGCTCGAGCGAGAGTAGTGTCGCTCAAGCGAAATCCAACCCGAGAAGGCCAATTTTGTGCAGGTCGCGTCGCTCGAGCGATATTATTGTCGCTTGAGCGAATGTTGACCTGCGCAAACGTCGATCAAAGTTAGCCTGATAATGTAACATAGGAGACTCATGTTAGAATCGGATTTCGCTCGAGCGAGTATAATTTCGCTCAAGCGAAATACAACCCGAGACTTCACAATCTTAAAATATGGTTGTATATGATAGCGGTTCCACTGGAACCGCTCTTAAATTGCAACTTCTAATAGCGGTTAAACCTCAAGCGCTATCTAATATACTCAATTATATTAACTATTTTTTTGAATATTATGTTTTTAAATTTGCTATTAGAGAAAACCTTTCAGAATTCAAAATGTTAAATAGTTTTAAATATTAAAATTAACTTTATCAAAAATTAGGAAAAAAAATTAATCCAAAAGAGTTCAAAAATGTATTATAATATTCTCAATTTTGAGTTTAATTATATTGTTCATTCTCAAAGTAGAAAATTATATTGTAATTATTTTAATTTACATTTTATGATCTTCTTAAAATTAGCATCAATAACATTAGATCTTATTAAAAGTGTAATTAAATCTTATTAAAAGTGTGATCTTATTAAAATAGCATCAATTAGCATCAATTACATTTTAATTTATATTTTGTGATCTTATTAAAAGTGTAATTAAATCTCTATTTTCTTAAATTTTTTTGTTTCAAACTTCTCAATTCTACATTTTTGTAACTTTTATCATTATATTATCATCCTCATCTCCTCCTATGTTCAACTTTATCTTCACAATAGTTAATATTCTTAAATAATGTATATTTTTAATTATAATTTTTGAATATATATTTCAGAAATTAATCAATTCTAATCTATTATTTGAAAAACTAATCAATTTTAATCAATAATTGCGCAAACTAATCGATTATAATTAATTCTTTGAAAAAATTATCAAATATGATCGATCATTTTGAAAATCTGATCGATCAGAATGGCAAAATCTTGTTGTATGTAATAGCGGTTCCACTGAAACCGCTATTAAAAACCACTTGTAATAGCGGTAAAATCATAACCGCTATCTAAGATACACTTCGGATAGCGGTTATAGTGGCACCGCTATTATATCCTCTCATTTATAATCGATCAGAATTGGATTTCGCTCGAGCGAGAGTAGTCTCGCTCAAGCGTAACACAACCCGAGAATTCACAATCTTAAACTATATTTTTTAATATTATGTTTTTAAATTTGCTATTAGAGAAAACCTTTCAGAATTCAAAATGTTAAATAGTTTTAAATATTAAAATTAACTTTATCAAAAATTAGAAAAAAAAATAATAATCAAAAAGAGTATTTAGAAAGTCAAATTATAGTTTCTCTATTTTAAATAATTAAAATAAATAGTTAAAAATAAAAATCAAGACTAATATTATCTTCAATTTATTAAAAGTGTAATCAAATCTCTATTTGCTTAGTTTTTTTTATTCAAACTTCTCAATTCTACATTTTTGTAACTTCTATCATTATATTATCATTATCATCTCCTCCCATGTTCAACTTTATCTTCACAATAGTTAATATTCTTAAATAATGTATATTTTTAATTATAATTTTTGAATATATATTTCAGAAATTAATCAATTCTAATCTATTATTTGAAAAACTAATCAATTTTAATCAATAATTTAGAAAACTAATCGATTATAATTAATTCTTTGAAAAAATTATCAAATATGATCGATCATTTTGAAAATCTGATCGATCAGAATGGCAAAATCTTGTTGTATGTAATAGCGGTTCCATTGGAACCGCTATTAAAAACCACTTGTAATAGCGGTTAAACCATAACCGCCATCTAATATACACTTCGGATAGCGGTTATAGTGGCACCGCTTATCATATCCTTTCAATTATGATCGATCATTTCAAATTATGATCGATCAGAATTGAATTTCGCTCGAGCGAGAGTAGTCTCGCTCAAGCGAAACACAACCCGAGAATTCACAATCTTAAACTATTTTTTTTAATATTATGTTTTTAAATTTGCTATTAGAGAAAACCTTTCAGAATTCAAAATGTTAAATAGTTTTAAATATTAAAATTAACTTTATCAAAAATTAGAAAAAAAAAATAATCAAAAAGAGTATTTACAAAGTCAAATTATAGTTTCTCTGTTTTAAATAATTAAAATAAATAGTTAAAAATAAAAATCAAGACTAATATTATCTTCAATTTATTAAAAGTGTAATCAAATCTCTATTTGCTTAGTTTTTTTGATTCAAACTTCTCAATTATACATTTTTGTAACTTCTATCATTATATTATCATCCTCATCTCCTCCCATGTTCAACTTTATCTTTACAATAGTTAATATTCTTAAATAATCTATATTTTTAATTATAATTTTTGAATATATATTTCGAAATTAATCAATTCTAATCTATTATTTGAAAAACTAATCAATTCTAACCAATAATTTACAAAACTAATCGATTATAATTAATTCTTTGAAAAAATTAGCAGATATGATCGATCATTTTGAAAATCTGATCGATCAGAATCTCAAAATCTTGTTGTATATGATAGCAGTTCCACTGGAACCGCTATTAAAAACCACTTATAATAGCGGTTAAACCTTAACCGCTATCTAACATACACTTTAGATAGCGGTTAAGGTGGAACCGCTATCTTACATAACTTTAGATAGCGATTATGATCGATCAGAATTGAATTATGACCGATCAGATCTGTTTCAATCGATTAAAACGCATTTCAATCGATTAAAACAACTTGGAAAAATTTTGTGCAGAGTTTCAATCGATTAAAACGCATTTCAATCGATTAAAATAACTTTTAATATTTTTGTACAGAGTTTAAATCGATTAAAACACGTTTCAACCGATTAAAACAACTTGGAAAAATTTTGTACAGAGTTTTAATCGATTAAAACTTCTTTTTATCAGTTAAAATAACTTGAAAAGTTTTATAAGAAAGTTTTGTAGTATATCAATCGATTAAAACACGAAACAATCGATTGAATCAAACTTTAGAAAAGTTTTGTAAAGTGTTTTAATTGATATAACCGTTGCAGTATCAGCTAAAACAATTTTGTTAAAGAATCAAGAACGCATAAATGGATTGAAAGGACTTTTAACAGATTGAAACGGCTATTTCAACAGATTAAAACAAACTTTCAACAGATTAATTAATGCAGCAGTTTTTGAAATTTCTCTTTAAAAACAGTTTTGCTTGAACTTTTTAAACATACATTTGAACATCAGTTTTCACAAATCCTAAGCAATAATTCAAGTAACCTTTAGCATCCTTTTTCAAGAAAGATTCGCAACAGTTTTTAGAAGTTCTTTTAAAAATCTTTCTTGAGGCAACTTGCATTCTTGTGAAGAAGAAACTCTCAGCAGATTTGGATAAACTGGTTTGAGCTTTCTAGTTTCTTCTTTGTAAATTCTTTTGTATTGTGTTGTGCCTGGAATTTGGGCAAAAGTTTCTCTGCAGCTGGAAGTTGGTTGTGGAGGTTATCAAGAACTGGAATTTGGTTCTTGGTGAAAGGTTTGGTGCCTGGAATTTGGGCACTGGTTTCTCTGCAACTGGAATTTGGTTGTAGAGGTTATCAAGAGCTGGAATTTGGTTCTTGGTGGAGAGGTTAAGTGCAGGAACTGGAATTTGGTTCTTGTGTTAGATTAGGTGTAAGATTGTTGAATCTGTAAAACATTTAATCTAGTGGAACCCAGCTGGAATTTGGCTGGAGACTGGACGTAGCCCTGGTATTGGGTGAACCAGTATAAAATACCGGTGATATCTTCCTTAACCTTTCTCTCATTTAAATTCAGTTGCTGCGCTTATTTTGATTGATTGCTTTGTGATTCAAGAACAGATCTTTAAACTTAATTTTCGAATTAGCAGGTGGTGTCGCTCGAGCGACGTTATTTTCGCTTGAGCGATATTGCAAAAATCAGATATAATTATGTATTATTTTCTCATTAGCGACCGATTTTAATTCGGTCGCTATTTCAATGTGTAATTCCGTCGCTAAATCAGTCGCTAAATGATTTTTTTATTTATGTATGAAATAGCCACCGATTTAGCGACTGAAAATTTGCGACGCACAAAAATTGGTCGCTATTCGGTCGCTAAATAAAGGAGTGAAAACCAAATCATATTTTGGTCGCTAAATCGGTCGCTAATGGCGACCGAATTGAAGTGGTCACTAAATTGGTCTCTAAATGTGACTAAAATTAAATCGGTCGCTAATTGCGACCGAAAAAATTCGGTCGCTAATTTCGGTGGCTAAATGTGTTTTTTCTTGTAGTGTTGATAACAAATTAATACCATTTTTTACACATTCAATAATAGATTAATTTTTTCACATTTTTAAGAACTAAATTAACATCAAATTTAATGTCAATACAAAAAATAATTTGGAAAATATACTCATCCTAATTTCTAAATCCATTTATACAATAATTAAATATATTTTTGTTTGTAAATCAGTTTTTATTTAGTGATATTTTTTATGGCGTAATATATAAAGTTATTTTCATAGTGATGGTTACCACGTCTTATTTTATTTAAAAAGCTAATATAAAAATTGAATGTTAATACATATTGGAATATAATTAACTTGCCTCCAATCGTTCGATTAATCACAATATTTTTAGATTTCTTTCTATCGTATTAACATCAGAAATATAAAATCTACTAATAAATTAATAACACTAATAACAATAGTTCAATTTTAACATAGTACCAAAAATATGTGACTGAGTTGAGAATATATATATAATCAATTCATTTTATCATCTTGTTATAATTATAAATTTATGACGTTGTAGTGATTGAGTTAATATGCACCTTTCATATCAATTAATTTTTAAGCACTGTCTGAGGGTTATCTAATAATTTTAATTATTAGATATTATGATTATTACCATTTTATGATAATTATCAAAATATTATTTAACATCAAAATATATTTTAATAACTATTGATCACTCTTAACTATTGATCAATACATCAAGTTAATCTCAATCATAAGTTCCACTCACGACTAAAATGATCATATCTACTTAAATTATGATCTCTATTTATTAACATACCAACCCTTGCATATATGTTAAGAATCTAACTTTGAGCTATTAACATGAAGAAAAACGAGGCAAGCCAATACTTTAGTGCTATTTCTTTCAACAAATATTACACATAATAAAATCTACTTCTAATTAACCAAGGATCGGTTGTTTGAAATCCCATCACTCCAACAATCACAAGATATCATAAATGCTTTAGTTATTACCTGCTAACTTGAAGCCACCCGCAATATTTTAGCCAAGAGTGCTACTTTGACATGAATTTTGTTTGCTAAATTATTCAAGAACTGGAAATAGGCATGTCGCCATGAACGCTTGAATAAGATTGAGCCAAACACTATCCAGAAGCTTACAACAAATCCAAATCCCATACTCATCAAATTTTCATTATTCAAAAATGAATCTTCTTTCTCATCAACTTCATCTTTTGGTTCTTGTGTTCGCCCTTCAGTAATACACAATTTCTCAAGTGGTGGTCCACAAAGATCAACATTATTTTCGTAACTTGAACTATTGAAACTCTCTAATTGTGTGCCGGTTGGAATCTCTCCAGTGAGATTATTATGTGACAAAATCAAGCATGCCAGGTCCATAAATTCGAGCAAGACTTGGAGGAATTGAACCAACAAGCTGATTTCTTGACAAATCAAGAGATTCAAGTGATACTAACTTTCCATTGGTTGAAGGAATTTTTCCAATCAAATTGTTTCTTGATAAGTTCAATGAAATCAATCCAAATAATTTCTCTATTTCTTCAGGAATTTCTTCTGAAAATTGATTGCTTGAGAGATCAATGCTTTTTAAAAGTGATAAACCCTTTTTCTCAAAAACTTGTTGTGAACCTTTCCATGTCAACAATGCATTCAAAGAGTATAGCTGGTTGCTTGAGAAACGACTGGTGTTGAGAAAATACCAATGGTCTCCCATTGAAGATGTTGTTTGAGTCATTGAAACAAAGTTTTTTATGCATTTAGGAATTTTTCCAGATAAGTTGTTTAGTGAGAGATCCAAGAGCTGAATGTTTAGCAAACAACAAATCTGCAATGATAAACTCCCATAGAATTGATTCCCTCCCAAACTTAAAATTTGCAAATTCCTTGTTTTTCCCAATCCAAATGGGAATAGGCCCTGAGAGTTTGTTTTTTGACATATCTAGCATAGTGCAATTCGTCAAGGAGAAAGGGATTCGTCCTACTAATTGTTGTTTCTCAAAAACAAGCTTGAAGATCAAGAAGTGATCTCATTGAAGGTGGAAGCTTTCCTGAAAATTTATTATGACTTAAATCTAAATAAGCTAATGACTTGAAATTGTTCCAACAATCTGGAATTTTTCCGGATAATTGATTAGTTGAAAGATGTAATTGGTGTAAAGTTCAATTGTACCATTAGCACATAAAAGAAAAATAGAATCAGAGAATTTATTTTTGGATAAATCGAGAAAGAGAGAATTCCTTAGAAATAGAGGAATAGGGCCTTCAAATTGATTTGATCCAAGGGATAGGAAAGAATAAGGATTATTTAGTGAATAAATAGGAATTATCCCTCGTAGATTGTTGTATGAAATACTCACACTTATCCATTCTCTCAATTGTAATTTAGCCCAGAACCATACAATATCTGATATTTTAGCATTTGAAATGTCAATATCCTCAAATTCATTTTGTGTCTGCAACCATTTTGGAAATGTTGGACCTAAATTGCAAGATCTCAATCTTATGTTCTGCAACTGAAAAGATGCGACCCAATTTTGGGTAAATGCCAAGGTCAATGAGTTGTCAGATAACTCTAATGTCTTTAAATTAGACACATTAGTGAAATGGTAATCACTGAGAACACCTTATAAGAAATTTGATTGCATACCTAGGTCTTCCAATTGAGGTGGAAATTGAATATCTTTAGGAATATCTCCATTTAACTTGTTTTCATTAAGATATAATCTTTTTAAGGATGTGAATGTTGAGAGATTAGGTATTGTGCCGTTGATATGATTCATGTGTAGATATAATTCTTCCAGTGAGTATCTAGCACATGCATTTCCAAATGATTTTGGAATTTCACCTTCTAACGAGTTTGATCCAATTGACAAAGACTCCAACTTCGATGGTAATTTGTTATCTCCTGGTATCTTACCATTTAATTGATTATTTGAAAGATCCAACTCTTGCAAGGTTGAAAATATTGAGAGATCAAGTAATGTACCCTTGATCATATTTTCACCCAAACTCAATCTTTGTAACGAGTTTCTTGCACATCCAGACAAGTCATGGATTATCACTAAAAGATCTATATTCAAATTGTTATTAGATAGATCAAGTGAGACCAGAACACATGCATTTCCAAATGATTTTGGAACTCCACCTTCTAAAGAGTTTGACCTGATTGATAAAACCTCTAAATTTGATGGTCGCATGACACCATCGGGTATCTTTCCACTCAAATGATTTTCATAAAGAAGCAATGTTTTTAGAGAGGACAGTACTGATAGGTCAGGTAAAGTGCCAGTGATGTGATTATACGTCAGATCCAATTCTTGTAATGAGTATTTAATACAACCACTAGACAAATTACGAAGAATGGATAGGAGGACTTCAGTCAAATTATTTTCCCACATGTTTAAGAAATTAAGGTGCATATATTCATGAAGGATTTCAAATTCCCATCGAGTCGATTAGAGGAGAGATCAAGATGTGTAAGCAAATTCATGAATGACCTGATGTGGAACCCTCCAAGAGGTTATGACTAAGGTCAAGTTCAACAAGGTTGGAAGAGGTGTTCGACACCCACGGGAATATCATCAGTAACGTGAAGGAGTTCCATGAAAGATCAAGGACCGAGAGAGAAGTTGAAAATTGAACTTGGAAGGCCTCCATGACGTAATGAAGTGATCGAAAAGGTTACAATCAACTAAACTTAATTCCCTTAGTTTTGGTAGCTTGACAATCACTTCCAACCCACTAGGAGAATGATTAAGAATTGATACAGACTTCAAGTAAAGATGGGTTAAAGAAAAGAGATTTGTAAGCCACTGACCTCCATCATCAATTTTGAGAGTATCATATCCTCCAACATAGAGCTCCTAAGTGTGTAAGGTTCCGAAGCTGAGATGGTATATTTCCTTCAAAAGAATATTGTACCCAAGATCAAGATACCACAACTGAGAGAGATTTGCGAGTTGACGAGGGATTGAACCCACCAGAGAATTCCCAGCAAGATTCAAGTATTTCAAATGAGAAAGAGACCTAAACTGACTTGGAATTTTTCCGCCGAAAAAACATGATGACAGATCAAGGTATCTCAAGTTTCTGAAAGAACCAAGAAACTCTGGGATGTGACTGTCCGGAAAAGAATCGGAACTGAGATTAAATACTCTAATTGTCGCAACTCCATTAATGACTTGTGGATCTCTCCGCTGATATAACGTCCAGAGCTTCCATAATAGACAGATTCTCCGTGAAGGTGGAGGCTTAGAATATGGGCGGTGAGGTTGCTGCAGCGAATCCCCTCCCATTGGCAACAGTGAGGAGTGGACCAAGATGAGAGCATGCCTTTGTTAAGATGAAGGGCAGCCTTGAATTGGAGGAGTGCTTCCCTCTCCTCTGGTATGCATCTTATTTCCTCTTCACCATAAACAACCCGCAACACCAGACACACCATAAACATCATCGCCAACCTGAAACAAACTGGATTCCTCATTGATGTTGTGTTTGTTATCATGACAAAAGGCAAAGTGATGGATAAATGAGATTGAAGAACTGGTGTGTTTAATGCTGTCAAGACCCATTAATATAACATCTCATGCATCCATCATTCTCATAAAAGGAAAATATTAGATTTTACACCTTCCTTTCATGAAACATCTATTAAATAACTTTAAAGATTATAATAATTATTTTTACTCATTATATTCTTAAAAATATATTATGTTATTAAAACAATTAATATATATATATATATATATATATATATATATATATATATTGAAGCAGTTGTCAGTACACTTATTTCATAAATATTGGAAAAATAATATGTTTATAATTAGATATGAAATATATATGTAAATAATTGATTTTATTAATATAATAATATTAATCATTATTATATAATAAGTTTTTAGTTAAGTATATATTTCACAAGGACTTATCTATTTTATTTTAAAAATTAAAAGAAAACGAAAAAAAGGATGACAAGGTATAAAAATTGATTTATACCATATACATAGACAGAAACCTCCATATATTTTCACCACCTAATAGTTCATCTATATTATTTAGGATATAAATAAAAACATGAATATTCCATTCGTATATTATGTAATGTAACATGTTACACTATAGTATTCTGGTAATAACTATTTTACATTAAAATATATCTAAATTATAATAAAAATATTTTATTTTCTCATTCACCTTATATCTCATGATTTCATTTTAATCAACAAATAAATTCATGGCACAAAATCATTTAAATACAAACATTATTATTAATATAATAATAAAAACAAAAATAATAAACAACTAACCAATATAAAATACTCCTGATAAAGTACATCAACTTATAATGTAAAGAAATTAAAATAAGATATATCTCTTAATTCAGTGACAGAATACTCATAAAATAAAAATTCATTTGTTGTGAACTTATATGAATAAATAAACACAAAATCCAAAAATAAAATTATCTGAATGGTAAGTCAATTAAACTTTGATTTAATCATTTAAAAACAAAATTTAGACTTTAACGGTGACAGATCAATTTTTTTTACCAATCATTTTAATATTTTCAAAAAGTAAATTAAAAAATCAATTTAAAATATTCAAGAAATCAATAAGAAATTCTCTAAAAATAATTAGTTTATTATATATATTACTATCAAATTTTCTTTATTTAATCGAGATTTAGTTTTACTTATCTTTATTTCGCCTTGTCCTTTTAAGATATACAAGTTTTGAATAAACAAAAAAGAGTCAAACTGAATTATAAAACACCCATAATCAAAGCTCAAACTTACATAATTCATCTTCCCCAATAATTCTAAATAATTATATATTTTGAAAGAATAAAAAAAAGATAAAAAAGGAATGACTTAAAAAAAAAAATTAAGATCAAAACTCCATAATTGCCTCAAAAGGTGAGAAGTACAAAAGAATGAATAAGGAGAAGTTGAAGATAAACTAAGGACATGACCGATGATATTATTAAGAAAATAAAATAAAATAAAATAAAATCGTGATATCTTTTATCTATTCAACTCCTAAAAAAAAGTCCAAATTCAGCTAATTTTTTTAGCCTTATTCCTCATGACATATCCATATTATAAATTTTTCTAAATAAATTAATATTAAACATATTTAAATTTTAATTATCATTTGCAAATTATTTTTTATACTTATTTATAAATTTAAAACACTCTTTATAATAATATATAAGTACTTCCTAATAAATTCAACTCATTTTATAAAATAACCCAAAATCTCTAGTTTGTTACAAAAGTTATTACACTTGATTGTGTTGTAGTTAAATATTTGCCAATAGTTAACGTTGTAACCTTCTTAGCCTTCAAATCCTTATTAATCCTTATATTATGTTGTCAAATTTTAATCCTTCATTTAAAACCTTTTCAAAATATTTTTCATATATTTTTTTAACCAATAAAAATTTCATTAATTAATTGAATTACTTTTATATTAAGAAAGTAATGCATCAAACCAAAATTATTAATTTTAGACTTATCCATCATACATTTTTCTTTTTTATTATGTTTTAAAAATATAAATATATATTGAATATTTATTTTTATTTTAATTGGAATTGTATTTGGAACTAACGTTCTTGTAGAAGAGTCATAATAAAAAATTTGTAATTCATTTATCATGAAGTTAAAAATTATTTAAATAAAGACTATAATTATTATTTATATATAAACTTTAAAAATAATATTATGTTTTATTTTTCTATAAGAAAATAAACTCTCATCAATATGACTATTACATTATATATTGTAATATATATTGGATTTGGATGTGGATGAAAGTTATTATTTGTGGAATATTACCAATTTTTGGATGAAGATAATTTTTTTCAATATTTATTAAGTTTATTTACTTTTACTAATATTTTAAATTATTTCAAGATCATATTATCGAAAAATATATAATAGAAAATAATGAATAATATTTTTTATTCAAAATTTGTAGTACTTATTTTATAATTTAAGTTTGTATAAGATAATATAATAGAGAGTAATGAATAATATTTTTTATTCAAAATTTGTAGTACTTATTTTATAGTTTAAGTTTGTATTATATTATGTAATTTAGTATTTAAATAGTTTAATTTGTAACTAGTTTAACTAACTTTTAAATAATTTAGTTTTTACCTTTCCTATAAGAAGTATTGTATCTAGATTGTTGAATTAATTCTGAATGATATGTATTAAAAATGTGTACTCGGGGTTTTTGTTGTAAGTCAAAATAGAATGAAAATTTTAAAGAAAAAAAAACACAAAATTTATATTGATGTGTCAATATCCGTCATAAAATTTATATCGATTTTTTTTTTCTGATATAAATTTACGTATTGTACATTCACATTAAACGACGTAAAAAAATCTAAAATCACATACATACAAAAAGCCTATTCATGTTTAGTCTTTATTTAAAAGTTGCTTATTTTTTTCACTGCATAATAAATTGCTTATTTAATTTTTTGTGCAATAACAAACACTACAAAAAATATTAACTATAGTGATATAAATATTTATCACTAAAAGTTATGAATTCATCACTATTAATATCTTGTAACAATAATTTGATTGTCACTTATACCCATGTCTGTAATTGTAACAATATTTTTAAATATAATTAAAATTAAGCTTTATAGTAACAAAAATATTTAACACTAATATAATACACAATTAAGCTTTATTATATATAATAGTAATAATAATAAATTGTCACAAATATAATACACAATAGTGATAAATAAAGTTATCACTATTAAAAATTTATAAAAAAATAATTATTTCAATATCACAAATATTTTAAAAATACAATAATAAATTAATTATTATTTATAATTTATAGAAATAATTATTATTAATTTAATGTCGCAAATAAATAATAGTAATTATTTATCATTATTATAATTTCTAAAATAATAATTATTATTATTTTAATTTCAGAATATATATATATATATATATATATATATATATATGATTAAAGATAATAATAAATTAATTATTATTTTTATATTTTTTATACTAAAAATAATAAGAATAATTTTAATATTAATCTTTGCTGTTATTATTATTTTTTAAAGTTATTATTAATTTTTAAAATTATTATTTAATCATTAAATTATTAAATATAAATGATATACAAGTCTTCTTAGTTATAATGAATAAATAAATTATTTTGAAATATTAAAATAAACAAATATGTAGACATAAATTATCCATTACATTATAAATGATAAAAACTAAAACACAATAAATATTTAACAAGATTCTAAATTCAAAGATGATAAACAATATATATTTTTAGTCCAAACTGTTACAATTAAATAACTATTTCTAAAATAAAATAAAAATAATAACAACTTGAACTATCTTCAACGAATTTGATCCTGCAAAATGAAATAAAAAATAATTAGTATTAATAAAAAAAATTAACAATATTTTAGATATATAAATATGTAAACTAAAAATATCTCGGAGATATTTTAGTGAAAAAATTAAAATAGTCAAACAACTTACTTCATTTGAGGGAACAATTGAATCATTAGATATTCTTGTGAATGATAAACCATCTAATAAAATAGACATTTGACGTTTCATATCTTTTTCAATATTTTGCTTCATAGTAACATGTTGAACTTCAAGTTGAGATTGTAATTTACGTTGAAGTTGAATATTAGTATTAGTTAATTTTTGCACTTGTATCTCTAAATCATTCTAAATCATTTGCTCTTTTTTGTTCATCTTCCAATTGACTTTGAACATATTGTTTCTCCTCAAAACCTGTTTGTCTAAAATAAATTATTAAAAACAAATTAGTACAACTTTAATAAATAATTTCCAAAATTTTAGAAAAGATGCTATACAATTACCCGTAGCTTCTTCAAGATTAGGATGATTGAACTTTAAGGCCACCCTTTTAGAATTTAATTTGATTGGCCTTATTATCTATAAAACAAAAGAGATAATGATTAAAATAATAATAAGATATTACAAAAATACTAATCAAATGCATAAGAAAAAGAGAAATAGTACTTACATTTGCTTCATCATCCCTTTCATCTTCTTCTGAACCTTGAACCTTTTTCATAATTTTTGGTTTATATTCTACATCATCGCCTTCAAGTTTTTCTTTATCCTTCTTTTTCGTCTGACTTTCAAAGGATAAACATTAAGTGTCAATCCCAAAGCCTCTAACTTTGCTTTGTTTTTTTTGATATTTTGTAATCTTTGTTCTTTGTGTTTGAACATGGTTCACTCTACATAAACAAAATTATTAAAAATAGAGAGTAATACTAATGTTAAATAAACAATGATAGCCTAAGATAAAAAACAAATATTACCCATTGGTGTGAAACGTTACCTGGGGTTGGGGCTGTGAGAAGGGTTGCAGAACCCGTTTCTGTCAAAAGTTAGGGGCTGGGAC